TCTAGTGGGTTGACGATCAGTCTTTACCACGATTATGCGGCTGTTATGTAATGTAAGGTTGGTACGGCCGTAAACGAAACGGTCCGGTGTGGCTTTACAACTACTTAGATGGCACCGGTTGGGATGAGGCGATTCATTCCAAGCGGTCAAACGGAGCAACGCAAACACAACGCATAGCAAGGTTTATTATTGCAAGAGAATCAGCAAGAATTCAGGCAAGAGTAGCGGCAAGAGAACCAAGCGTTCCAATACTAAAGTGAGAATTCTAGACATCGAGAGAAAGCCGGTAAAAATCCATAGAAATGTGGAGAATCTTTATCAGACGTTATGAATCATAATGCAGTAAAACAACAACCAATCATTGATGTTAAATGACCATTACTATTCGAAACTGGCGGTCTCACTCGTTGTACTCTAATGCTACAATTCTAATGTAATTCTAATGCTACAATAGGCACCACATAGCCGTGCACCGGAAGCGGGACTGTCGCTGGCTGCCGTCTCGTAGGCTGCCTTAGTGACTGGCCCAACAGAGTAACAAAAACCAAATTAATAAATAAACGAAGCATAAGTTGATCTGAAAATTAAAAAAAGTCAGTTGATCAGCAGATCAGCAGTTTATTGGGCAGCAAAACTGAGCCTTTTAAAGTGGGTCGGTCAGCGATTTGTGGATTACCGAAATTTGGTTGACCGACAAGCAATCTGTCGGTCAACGAAAGAGTTTTGACAAAATGTCGGCCTGCGAGTTGTGTAGAAAAGCAAATCATCAGTCAGCAAATCGTCGGTCAGTGAGCAGCGTGTATCAGCAATATATGGGTCAGCAAATGTCGTAAAGCTAAACGAAGGTGAAAGAACTGAAGTGCCACCTACCACCGACACGAACCTTTGCAGTATCATTTAAGTATCCCACATATATCCAACTGGGAAACCACTAAAACCCGCCCATAAACCAGTAAAAGGTAAAAAATAAAAGTTAAGAAAACAACGAACGAAAATAGGCACACCGACAACTCGCTGACGACTTTCCTGCCGGCCGATTAATAGCTGGCGACTTTTTGCTGACCGACGAAACGATGATCCGACCGTTTGTTGAATCGGCAAATCGCTGAACGACATCTCGCTGAACGACTTTTTGTGAACTTCGAAAACTTGCTGACGCCATTTCGCTGACGTGAGAGACCTAAAAACCTACAAAATCTGAGAAACTTAAGAAAAAACAACAAGACGTTAGGAAAATTCAAAAATCAGCTCATCGAACAGAAAAGCAAGTTGTCGGTCAGCAAAAATGTTTCAACAAAACGTCGGTCAACAATTTACAATTTGTCGGTCAGCCAGTTCTGTAAGTCAGCAACATATCGGTGAGCAAACTGTCGGGTAGCAAATTGTAGGCCGGCGAACTGACGGCCGTACCTTAGGGAAGTGAGGGCCCCTGAGGGAAGTGAACCGAATAAATAGCACAAAATTCGTGTGCATACACTAAAAATTTCAGTTCTGCACTCTTGAACATTTTTTTATCATTGTTTTATTACTTTCTGTAAACAGATAATTTGTGCACGTTTGCGTGACGACCGCTTGTGCACGCAGCGTTAGGTGGTAGTTAGGAGGTAAAAAAATGACGAAGTTCCAAAACTTTAAAAGTTTTTTTCCTCTCACGAAACCAAATCATGTTTATCAAATTTTCAAATGTTTTTGAGTTTCATTTTAAACTTTGAAACATGCTAGAACCGTGGTTCGGTTATTGTAGTGTGAAAACGATTTTCAAAGTGGAAATCGTATTCACACAACATCAGCCACCACAAATCTGTAACATTTACAAATCGGTCCATAATATGTAGCACCTTGACTGTTGGAGAGACCTTCAAAAGTTCAGAGTTTTATTTCGCTCGTAAGTCCTCATTCTTTCGCACCCAGAAGGACGCCGTCAAAGGGTTTTCGTGCCAGTGTACGCACAACATTTTGGCTGCAGATCAACATAATACGAGAGTGAAAATCGTATTTCTAGAGAGGAAAACGTAAAAAATTATTAAGACGAGTATACGCGTTCGGTGCCGTGTGTCCTCAAGAACTCGAGTTCCTTCGAAACTCACTTTGTTTAAGAGCTGAAATAACACCAGTAACACGATGCAGTACTTATTTCTATTTAGATGTCACGACAAAAAATTACCACAATTCAGCTATTCAGGGTTACAAAAGACTGCGCAGGTGACCAGTACACTGTATCCGGTTAAGAAAGCTCCCATTTCTATCGAACAGAAAATAAACGTTAATGCTTCATCAAAACAGATCATTATGAGTATACTGCCGGAATCCCAGATCACGGCTCCGAACAAACCATCAGTGTGCGAGCGGGCAAGCATGTCGTTGAGCAGAACCAGAACTGCAATCCCCGAAGTCAAGCCGTAGCTGAGTAGGTGCCGGTACTGTATCACCGTGTCGCTGTTGTCGCGGCGTGTTTCCAGCCGTAGCAGGGTAGGTGCCAGTACTGCAGCACCGTGTCGCGGCACGTCGCGCTAATATACCGTGTCGCTGTTGTCGCGGCGTGTTTCCAGCCGTAGCAGGGTAGGTGCCAGTACTGCAGCACCGTGTCGCGGAATGTCGCGCTAATATACCGCGTCGCTGTTGTCGCGGCGTGTTTCCAGCCGTAGCAGGGTAGGTGCCAGTACTGCAGCACCGTGTCGCGGCATGTCGCGCTAACATACCGTGTCGCTGTTGTCGCGGCGTGTTTCCAGTCGTAACAGGGTAGGTGCCAGTACTGCAGCACCGTGTCGCGGCATGTCGCGCTAATATACCGTGTCGCTGTTGTCGCGGCGTGTTTCCAGCCGTAGCTGGGTAGGTGCCAGTACTGCAGCACCGTGTCGCGGCATGTCGCGCTAATATACCGTGTCGCTGTTGTCGCGGCGTGTTTCCAGCCGTAGCAGGGTAGGTGCCAGTACTGCAGCACCGTGTCGCGGCATGTCGCGCTAATATACCGTGTCGCTGTTGTCGCGGCGTGTTTCCAGCCGTAGCAGGGTGCCAGTACTGCAGCACCGTGTCGCGGCATGTCGCGCTAATATACCGTGTCGCTGTTGTCGCGGTGTGTTTCCAGCCGTAGCAGGGTAGGTGCCAGTACTGCAGCACCGTGTCGCGGCATGTCGCGCTAATATACCGTGTCGCTGTTGTCGCGGCGTGTTTCCAGCCGTAGCAGGGTAGGTGCCAGTACTGCAGCACCGTGTCGCGGCATGTCGCGCTAATATACCGTGTCGCTGTTGTCGCGGCGTGTTTCCAGCCGTAGCAGGGTAGGTGCCAGTACTGCAGCACCGTGTCGCGGCATGTCGCGCTAATATACCGTGTCGCTGTTGTCGCGGCGTGTTTCCAGCCGTAGCTGGGTAGGTGCCAGACTGCCAGTACTGCAGCACCGTGTCGCGGCATGTCGCGCTAGTATACTGTGTCGCTGTTGTCGCGGCGTGTTTCCAGCCGTAGATGGTTGGTGCCAGACTGCCAGTACTGCAGCACCGTGTCGCGGCATGTCGCGCTAATATACCGTGTCGCTGTTGTCGCGGCGTGTTTCCAGTCGTAACAGGGTAGGTGCCAGTACTGCAGCACCGTGTCGCGGCATGTCGCGCTAATATACCGTGTCGCTGTTGTCGCGGCGTGTTTCCAGTCGTAACAGGGTAGGTGCCAGTACTGCAGCACCGTGTCGCGGCATGTCGCGCTAATATACCGTGTCGCTGTTGTCGCGGCGTGTTTCCAGTCGTAACAGGGTAGGTGCCAGTACTGCAGCACCGTGTCGCGGCATGTCGCGCTAATATACCGTGTCGCTGTTGTCGCGGCGTGTTTCCAGCCGTAGCTGGGTAGGTGCCAGTACTGCAGCACCGTGTCGCGGCATGTCGCGCTAATATACCGTGTCGCTGTTGTCGCGGCGTGTTTCCAGCCGTAGCAGGGTAGGTGCCAGTACTGCAGCACCGTGTCGCGGCATGTCGCGCTAATATACCGTGTCGCTGTTGTCGCGGCGTGTTTCCAGCCGTAGCAGGGTAGGTGCCAGTACTGCAGCACCGTGTCGCGGCATGTCGCGCTAATATACCGTGTCGCTGTTGTCGCGGCGTGTTTCCAGCCGTAGCTGGGTAGGTGCCAGACTGCCAGTACTGCAGCACCGTGTCGCGGCATGTCGCGCTAGTATACTGTGTCGCTGTTGTCGCGGCGTGTTTGCAGCCGTAGCTGGGTAGGTACCAGACTGCCAGTACTGCAGCACCGTGTCGCTGCATGTCGCGCTAATATAGAGTGTCGCTGTTGTCGCAGGCTGCGAATGCTTACAGTATTGCGCTACGTTATATTTGGGCGAAGTTTGGTCCGCGACGCGACAGTGACATTAAAAACTAAGTTTGGTACAGATTGAGCCACTTCTGGAAATCGCTCGCTGGTGTAGAGTCTGATGGGAATGTTGCGTTTTTATCGCACATTTATCAAGGAGCGATCTCCGATGTTGCCATTGTCAGGCAGTCTGGACTTTTTACAAAACTTCAGGTAAAAGATCGATGCTTAATTGTGAAATAGCCATGGTTTTCTTTAACTGCAGGAAATTCAAGATGTGAAATAGTAAACACTGCAGTACATACATTCTTCAGTTTTGCAGATTGGGGAAATTGTTCTGGCCGACCGTGGTTTCCAGCTTACAGACGAGGCAGCAGACAAGGGAGTAAAATGGATTGTTCCCCCTTCAGTTAATAAAGATACTGGGATGACACGGCAAGACTTGGCTGACACGTGTACTACAGCCCGCGCTCGTATTCTTGTCGAAAGATTTATCGGTAGACTTAAAACATTTCATCAGTTTGACGGACCGCTAAAGATTATTGATTTGACTAGGCTGGATACAGAGCTATTCATCGTTGCGAATCTTTGTCGTTTTCTTCCTCTACTTGTCAGTGACTTAAATTTTGATGGACCGCCCCCTGAAAATAGTAATTTTGATATTTCTGAATTGTTTGACGGTATTTTGGAGTCGTACGAGACCGAACATTAAGTTACGATTTTATTGTTAAAGGTAACAAATGCGAAAAATAAAATTCCAAAGCTAATCTCACGTTATTCACAATGAAATCACAATTAAAGGGCACCAGCTGGCGGAATGTTTGCAGTCCATCTTCGCGATATACGTTAAAAAAACATTTTTTTAGGCCACTACAATACATTTCCCACTGAATCTGAAAATAGTGCTCATGCGACTCTTTCAATTTATAGACTAAGATTCCGTTATCTTCCTCGTAAGGATAAAGATACGGTAAATCAGAAAATACTTTTGTTTGAGAAAACGTTTTAATCTCCAGTAGGTAAAATATATCCAAACTATCCTCGATGGTTCTGATCAAGCGATCAGGAGACGCACCGGCCCACCGTTCTACAAAATGCACTATAAAGCCAACAGGAACGGCCTCTGCATACATCCCTGTGTTGCGGAGCTCCTGAATGAATGCAGTGCAAGCAATCGGCTCCAGATCCTTGCCCCTTCTGATTGCTGGTAACTTCGATAAGTCTCTTGGAGCGTGTATTTCGTTTGCTAACTTAGCCCGTCGATTTTCTTTTCCCGTTGTATTATTCTTCATCCCAGTTATCACACGCTTTAGGAACGTTCCAGTTATCCTTACAGACCGATGATACGCCCACTCCGACGATGAAGACTGCGTTCGAGTGGCTTTTTCGATATCATAAGGATTTTTGGAAAGAATTTCTTTGGTAAATACTGCTTTACAGTTAGTACTCAACACCGCACTGAAAGGCTGCCATAAGCAACCGGAGTCCACAGGAGGGCGTAGTGGGAGTTGTGGATAGCAATCCGGCCAAGCATCATTCTTTAAAGAAAAGGGATTTTTCACTGGCGGGCTTGAACTACGTGGAATCCGCAAACATTCATTTGGGTCCTCTATCACGCGAAGCAGCGATTTCGGAAACAACTCCGGATTGGTTTCTATAAAAGCGCGAGCTTCGCGTATACGGTCAGCACTGAATATCCTATCGCAGGGTGATATTCGAGAACGCGAATCTGGCTCCCAAAGCGGTCTGCGGTCAGGGCGCAAGTAATGAGCGTAAATATCGCCTCGTTCAGGACGGAGTTCGCCTGTTTTCGTGCTTGGCTTTCCCCAGCACTGCTCGAAACTTGTACAGGGCAAGTTCCACTGGGGCACCTTTTTTCCTTCCAGAACCCAGTCGAGAGCATACACGACAGCAAGGATGTGTTTGCAGAGGGCCGCAGGCGATAAATTTTTGGACGAGGGGCACGAGCATCTGGTCTCCACAAACTCGTCCGCCACGAGGTGTGATACTCGTACTGTTATTGCCACAGTGTACCACTGCGCTTCCATTTCAGCATGACACTTAGCGATAAATTTCAATTCGCTGGCTTCCGTGTTATTAGAAAAACCCTAAAACAAGAGAATATTGTACAATTACTTGTTTTATGGTTGATTAAATTATGAAAGAAATAAACTCAGTAACTGGAACCTTTATACCAAAACATGATTTTTAATTCATTTTACAATAGTTTACTCTGTATATTGCTACCTGAGTCATCTTGAGCTGTTGGACGTAGCCTGTTGTCCCCATGAGCCATCCCTTTCTGTTAATATTGCAGCGATCAGTCGCGGTCCACAGCGTTAATTCAGGACGACATTTATTCCATAAATTTTCCAACACACAGTACGGAATTTCGTACAAACTATCTCTTACTTCGCTGGCTGATGACAGCCACGGCATGTACGCCATAATGATGTCGATTTCTTATGAACTGACGTAAAATTTGGGTACTTTGACTTCTGGCATACTTTCAGAATAAGCAATCAATCAGAATAAGCTGTAGTTGTGAAAACAAAACAATTAATAGCAATCCAGCAAGCTCAGTGATTATTAGTAATACTGCAAAAATTATTGTCAATACGAGTATCGTTAGTCTCTCTTCTGAAATATTGCGTGCGCAAGCTCAGTACAGGGAAATGGTGGGGTGATCATGCACATGACTAAGGCTCATTGTGAAACGAAATTAACGTGTAAAAAACACCTTCGACGGGTTAGCGTACGAGGTTAACCACTTCCTGCCACTACCTAATTGGTAGAGCAAACCTTTACCTCAACTATTACAGTAAACAACCGACAGAATCTGATCAGGAACACGAACCAGGAATCCTAATTTGAAGTCCTAAAGGACCAGTGCAAGAACGTTCTTACTTTCAACTTCTGGTCGCAGTTAGTGCGCGGGTCAATAAGATCTAAGGACATTCAGCTGCCAGCCTATGACCTGTACCACCCCTACCAATGCAGTGAGCGCTCTAACGCCGCAAAATAGACTTATGTAGCACAAAAATTTCATAAATTCTTTATATTGTAATAAGTTTTCCTATTTTTTGCGTTTTTGGGTTTTTCTGGCTTTGCGACCCTTTATCGGTATGGCTTCTTAGAGCTTCTTAATTTTTTACCTGGTTTTCTAGCACCGGCAAGCAAGCTGCCTTTCAGCAAAACTGTTTCTGCAACACGTCGCTCAACAAAATCGAAGAAAAGTGAATTGCCGGTTAGCATTCTCTCGTACTGCAGATTGTTTTCGTCAGTAGTACGTCGTTAAAAAAATTTTGCGAGTCAAATCAGAGGCCGGAAAAGCACAAAATCCTCGAAAACCCCAACTTCCCATGTACAGTATTTCCGGCCCCGGCTTAAGACATGCTGTATAGTCTGCTAGGATGCATACTCAGTGTTGCGAGTTTCATAAAGTACAGAAAACCGAATAACATGAAAAAAAACTAAAGAAAGCATAAGAAAACATACTGAAAAATAAGGAAGCATAAAAAATTAAGGAAATTTATCTATTTTTGAATGTAGGAATTTTAAAAAATTTAGAACATTTAAGACATAAAATAATTTTAAAGAAACTTTCGTGATACATAAATTTACTTGGCAGCGTTGCAGCGTTCATTCCGGTGGTAAGCGCGGTACAGGTCGTTGATTAGCCGCAGACAAGTATCTGTAGGTGTAGAATTTATTGAAATCGATTCCGTTTATAGATTACTTTTGTCGAAGGCAGACTGATTTCTAATTTTGCTGCACTTTTAAAAACTGCCATGTTTACCGCTTGCCAGTGGCGAAATGCCACATGCCACTGCCGGTGGCAACTGCCAGTGGCAGGTGCCATTGCCACCTTTTACACCCTGCCTCACAAATGACCACTTCGCCACAGACACGGCGCAGCAGATCCTGTTTGGCTGAGGATGTGTCGCTGGCCATTACGGCGATGACACGATAGCCGAACAGTCGACCGTATGTTGCGACGGATAAGCCGAAGTTTCCGCTTGTGGGTACTATTATGAGTCCACCAGGAGAGAGCAGGTTCTTGGATGCGATGTTTTTAACTTTTTGCAATGCTGGGCGATCTTTGACGCTCAGAAGGGGATTGAGGAATTCTAATTTGGCGATGACGTAGTGGTTTGGGAACATGCAATGCAGACGCAGTGCCGGCGTCCCACCCACTAGGTCGGTTATGCTTTGCGCCACGACCAGAGGTCGTTCGCTAACAAGAATCGTACCTTTGGGCTGGAATTTCGGATCCTCCAGGGCATTTTCAGCAATCATTCGCGTTTGCATTTTCTTGCCTACAGTCTACAGAATACAAATTAAATTATGTATTGATGCGACACAGTAAAGAGCGCAAAAAGGGCAACAATACTGACCTTTAAAGGTTAACAATTAAATACCGCTAGGTAACTAGGTCTACGAAAATCCAGAAGAAAACTAAAGTCAAACAGAATATTAAAAAGCTTGACAAAATGTTTATTCAGATTCAATTGTTGGCTTTTATACCGGTTTGATAGTTACCTATGCGAGCCATTATTGAAATTACGGAATGTTATGCGAAACTGACAGTAGTTATCGGTCGTGTATTATTTCGACTTGTGATTGTTAAAGAATGGCCAAGAATTCTATCAGGTTTTAATAAAATCACGGATATCTCCACATTCTGTGTACATCCTTGCTGATCCTAGCGAACTTTGCACTCCTGATCATACGTTTTATAACCGTAAGCGAAATATTTACATTTTTACAAGAATTGTGTCGTCTGCATCCGTCAACACAGGAATGGTTTGCCTGATTTTCTATCTAACCAGGAAACACATATTTCGGGAACAGAAAATCGCTTTTCTATCATGACTTGCCGCTTAATCATGGTGCAATCGTGCATAATCTGCATTAGTTTACTCATTGTACCGTTTAAGCAGTACTGATAGCGTTTTATTACGGTCCGTTTTACCGAGCGGGAAGTCTGATGCAGTGATCGACATGTCGGCAATCCATATATCATCAAGTCATTATCCGCTGAAGATGAACCACGGTTTTGCTCATAGCACAACCACTCAATCACGGTTAATTCACCTAATTACCACACTATAAAATCTGGCAGATGGCACATAAAATGTGGCACTATTTTGTAACTAGTTGGGAGTGCTCGGTCTGCTCTACAGTACTCCAAAATGTTGGCAGTGTAGAATCAATTTATCCTGTTCAGAGTAAACAGCACTGGGCATGCACAAAATAAGTAAGTACTGTAAGCGCCGGCATAAAAATTTTAAATGGTCAGATTGCATTTTCCCTTTTGCGCAAAGTTCCACAATAAAAAAAAGAAAGGTGCGTCAATAAGCCGTCGCACTTCGTAAAAGCGAAGTGCTGGAATATCCCTTGCGATTAAGCTTGCTGCTGTGAACCTTGATTAAGGGATATGGCCCGGTACATAGTACTAATTTCGTGGACATTGACGGGAATATTCGCTTTCGCGCACTTCCAAACAATTTATTGTGTTGCTCTTTGCCATTGTTTAGCCAAATGATTTGTATACATAGGCGTGAAAACCGTTTTTGCGCGCAACACTCGGTTGTGGAGTTATTAGGGTAACACAATTCCAAAAAAATTTAGAAGTTTAAATGCAGGTGTACCGAAAGTCTCATTATGGACTGAACCGTTCCAACTTTGGCAAGTGTATGGACATAACTATGAAGATTGCTCTCACATGGATCCAGACTTCCTCAAATTTTTTTCAAATTTTAAAATGAATATTTTTGAAATTCGTCTTAACATTTGAAAAAAGATGCTAGAACAGTGGATCGGTGTAAGAACATTTCATGGTTGTGTAAATTTACGTGCAAAATTTGAAAGGGATCTGTCCGTAAGGAGACGTTTGGTACACCTGAATGCATTTACACGTTTTTGAACTTTGTTACCCTCATTTATTTTAATACCGCCCCCTGGAAAAGCTGTTGACAGGAAACCTGATCTCAGATAAGGCGGGCCTAGACTCCAACTCTGACTCTGACTCTGATTCTGACCACTCAAACTCTGACTCTGACTACTCAAAGTCTGACTCTGACCGCTCAAAGTCTGACTCTGCCTCTGAAGGTTTCTTAGGTTTCTTAATAGGTCTCTTAGGTTTCTTAGGTTTTTTAGGTTTCTTAGGTTTCTTAGGTTTCTTAGGTTTCTTAGGTTTCTGAGGTTTCTTAGGTTTCTTAGGTTTCTTAGGTTTCTTAGGTTTCTTAGTTTTCTTAGTTTTCTTAAGTTTATTAGGTTTCTTAAGTTATTCTTAGGTTATTCAGTCAGAGTCAGATTCAGAGTTCGGACAGTCAGAGTCAGACTTTGAGTGGTCAGAGTCAGAGTTTGAGCGGTCAGAGTCTGAGTCAGAGCCAGAGCTTGAGCGCGGGCCGATAAGGCGGATGTTTACAGACCTTTTATATGGAGCATCAACCTAATGTGACTTTTGCCGTCAGAGGCAACTACCGTATCGGCTTGGGAAGTTCACTCATTCAAAAACAAAAACAACAAAACTGATACTTACATGGTATGTACTTATATCAGCTAAGAACTAGAACGATCAAAGCCTTCGATCGAATATGACTTCCGACTTCCGTTGATCGTCATTAACCGATGTTGCACCCCGCGATTGCTGTCTGTCGTCACTCGTCAGCAGCTATCCCACGAACCAGGTTTTGACGTAAAATGACTGGACATTGCTCACTGACGGCCTCAATGGCCAAAGAGCTCTGGAGCGAAGTGAGCTCGCTGTTTAGTGATTGGACTGGGGATATGTACCAGTACATGTACACTTGTAAATTAAGCATTTTCATAGTTATCCGTCGTTCGACAGTACAGCTACTAATATATAAACAACAAGCCCAAGCAGAACTCAGCCGCTTTGTGTAAATACAATAAATACGTAGGTTATGCTGTATATTTTTTGCAGTTTGTATTAAAATGTTACACTACTGTTCTGTATACCACTACTGGCACTACTGGCACTACTGTGGCACATTATTCACATGGCACTACTGTGGCACATTATTTTTTTCATGGTTCTTGTCATGAATCCGTCTCTGTGGAGCAGCGACAGCGGGATCGGCTTAGCATCCGCTCGGCGCAAGGAAGGGCCGAGCGGCAAACCGGTTATCCATAATGTGAGGCATTCCAGTCGAAAAGACGCACAGCAGGCTGCTCAGCTTGCAAGCCACAGAAAGGGGAGGATACATCCACCACCCATCCGAAGCGGGCCGCCGGCCACATTTTCACTCTACCGACGGCCAGGGAAGGAAACTCCAAAATGGAGTACATCACCAGTATGGAAAAAAGAAATGATCGTTTTGAAGAAGGGCAATGTAGTATTTTTTTGTCAAGACTATAGGTACAGGATCCATCAACATTTATTTAGCCTTACTTCAAAGATACAGCCCATAAAATTATGCATGCCTACGTTTACTTATTGACACGTGG